CCAACAGGGAGAAGATGACCCAGATCATGTTTGAGACCTTCAACGTCCCCGCCATGTATGTGGCCATCCAGGCTGTGCTGTCCCTGTACGCCTCCGGTCGTACCACTGGTGAGAAAAATAATAACTTACTCAACATAAATCAGCCAGTTACAAACACTAAGTCAGGCATCAACATTACACACTGGAAGAACAATTTAACTTTTACGCACGACATTTATCAATTAACTATTACGCAATAGATTTACGCACTGATACGACGTACCTGCATCTTTATTAGCCTATATATTACAATATATTACAGTTTCATTGTAGTAAGACATTATTCATTTATAGAGACATTCAATTGCGCATATATCTGAAAGAGAGGGGGCATATTTACGCAATACACAGTCATGTTTCGTCACACAGACTATAATAATAATTTCATCATCCTCCTCATAGGTATTGTGCTGGATGCTGGTGATGGTGTGACCCACAACGTCCCAGTCTATGAGGGTTACGCTCTCCCCCATGCCATCATGCGTCTGGACCTGGCTGGTCGCGATCTGACCGACTACCTGATGAAGATCCTTACCGAGCGTGGCTACTCTTTCGTGACCACTGGTGAGGACTCTAAAGCATATACAACCGCAATAATTTGGATAGATCTTAGAACAAATTAAAGCAAAAGCTTTTTTGGACCTTTGTAGCTAATTGTTTAAAAAAAATAAGACTTTAACATTTACGTGCACTGTTTTGTTTGAAATAGAAATGTTTTATTCTATGTAAAATCGTCGCATTAATGAAAATAACTTAAACTACATCTATAATTTAAACTCTTGACCATAGTTGTCCTGGTGATTTGTAAGCCGCTGCGTTTTAGGGAATTGTTAGTGTCATGTCTTTCTGCTACTCTCTTAAGTAAACTTATAAACTTGTGCCCCTACAGCTGAGCGTGAGATCGTGCGCGACATCAAGGAGAAGCTGTGCTATGTTGCCCTGGACTTCGAGAACGAGATGGCCACCGCTGCCTCCTCCTCCTCCCTGGAGAAGAGCTATGAGCTTCCCGACGGTCAGGTCATCACCATCGGAAACGAGAGGTTCCGTTGCCCCGAGACCCTCTTCCAGCCTTCCTTCATCGGTAAATAACATTACACCATGTTCAATAAATATTACGCGCAATTCTTGCCATTGTCCTGTTGAGTTTTAACACTTGTTCTCTCACCTGCAAAGGTATGGAGTCTGCTGGTATTCATGAGACTGCTTACAACAGCATCATGAAGTGCGACATTGACATCCGTAAGGATCTGTACGCCAACAATGTGCTCTCCGGTGGTACCACCATGTACCCTGGTATTGCTGACCGTATGCAGAAGGAAATCACTGCTCTGGCCCCCAGCACCATGAAGATCAAGGTAAATACAGCAAACCTACCCAATATAGCTACTAATATACTGAAACCAAAGTTATCCTGAGAAACTGACAATTTACTTTTCTTCCCTCAGATCATTGCTCCTCCCGAGAGGAAGTACTCTGTCTGGATCGGTGGCTCCATCCTGGCTTCCCTGTCCACCTTCCAGCAGATGTGGATCTCCAAGCAGGAGTACGACGAGGCTGGCCCCAGCATTGTCCACAGGAAGTGCTTCTAAATTATCTGTCTGCAACTCCAACTTCCTCATTGTCTCCAACACCAGCCATCAGGAGAGCAAGCAAGGAGGATCGGCCTCTGCAGCACAGCAACACTCTGCTGTCAATGGACTGTCATTCTCTGCTGTTAACTTCATATGCAATTTTTATTTTTTTCTAAAATGCGCATAATTCGAAGCTGTTTGTTGTCTGTGTTGCACTGGAGAAAGGCTGTGAAAAACATCACTGAACCATGCATCTACCAAAAAACTTTAATAAAAAAATAAGAACAACATGTTGCCCAACACATGTGAATGTAAGTGTATATACATATTGATAATTTATTAAAGTCCAATATTTGGTATATTTACCTGGTCTGTTCTGTTTCTATGGACAGTAGGATTCAGACAGAAAAAATGTTTCAACAAAGGGTTAAAAACTACATCTTTTAAGTATCAGAAACTGTTTGAACTAATGGTAAACCAATCAGCAGCACCACTCAGAGGGCATAGGGGAGATAGTGGCGAGAAGAGGGAGGTCCCTACAAGTGTCAGAAACAGCTGTTGGGTCATTGGGTCGGGGAGGGAGCAGGTGGGCACCGGGCAGGCGCAGTTGACTTGGCAGGAATGTGCAAAGGCAGCAGCCCAACTTTAGCCCATCCGGACTGGTAGCTTATGGGACACCTGACACCTGACTTTGGTACCCGTTGAGCTGATATGCCCTGCTCCAAACGCGCAGGTCCGGGCTCCACACCATCTTTAGACACAACCAATGGCTAAGTACAGCGGGCCTCTGCAGCCCAAACCTTATATGCATAGACATTGAATTGGTTTTCAGATCTGCTGCCAGTGCCCAAAATGTTCTTGTCATTTGGTGCACGATACAATTTTCAGAAAAATTGGCAACTACATGCCACAATGGAATTCAAAATTTAACTACACACGTAGATTTACTGATTTAAATTATAATTTATACATGTAACGTAATGTTCGTGGATCAGTATGTCCTTTTATGTTTCCTTGTGTTCTTTTTCTTTTGAGGCAAATGTACGATGTATGATGTATAATTTAATTAAGAATGTGAGTAATACAAAACCTGAAATCGCTTTAACCACTGGAGAACCAATGGAAGTATATAGATCCACCTGTTGCGGATGTGTTGGGCTTTTTAAGAACGTCCCGAGGCGGGCGGAGCTAAGAGGCGCAGCTATTACAGCAAGACCGTGAACGCAGCGCCATCTGTTCTACTGTTCCTCCGTGAAATCCGAGTCCAGTGTAAGTGCTATTCTTAGGTCACTGTAGACTAAATTAGCCTCTTACAACACTACATTTCTGCTGTCGCAATGGGCATGTTGTGCGTGATGGACAATGTTTTGTCAGTGAGACAGTGCGATGTTTCCTACGAGGCTCGGCTCGCCTAAATCTGGAGACGGTGACAGGCGATTATCTGTTCTGTCTAGTGACTGATTATTAGTCGTCTATTTGAAGGTTGACGCTACATTTTTCCCTCTCTGAATTAAAGACAATAGCTGCTGCGGTGATCAAGGTTCTGCAACATCTTACCATCTGGTTTAGACTTTATCTGACACAGAGATGACAAAATATGCATATAGGCCTATGCCTTCACTTCACCAAATATTTGAATTTGTATCCTTTACGTGGTCCATTTACATTGAAATCTGCCTAATGAAACAGTGGGCTGTATCCTCGAGGACCAATTAGATGAGCCTGTGCTCGCGCACGTCACCACATTCAAGAAATTTCTGATTATACAATTTGTTGTCGGTAGGTCACAATACAGGGGACGTTTAGTTGTTCTCGATTCAAAGCATTGGTTTAACTCTGCCTTTATAAGATCCTGCGGAAACCCTAGAAAGTCACAAACAAGACAGCAGTAGCTCTTCTTGCTCTTCTTGGCGACCTACGCGTGTATCTATGGAAGTGGGCGGTTCATAAGTAGACAAGCTTTGCTGCCATTGGCCTGTTTTTACGCACAGGTTTAGTTTAAAAGTCTGGCGGTGACGCAGTTCTCTAAAGGAAAACAATGAAGCGATTGGGCGTTTGCGCAACACTGTTCTACTGTAACTTTTAGTTTGTTCTAGTTTATTTTTTTGTCGGTTTCATTTTAGTGAACGATGGTGACCAAGAGGATCCGCTCAGAGTACATGAAGAAGTTCAAAGACCCCAAATGGGAGACGTTCAGTAAATGCTATGAAGAAATGTTAAAATACAGGCTGACCCGTAGGCTGCTTGAGCACTCGCACAATCCCTGGTTTTGGGGCGGCTCAGACACTGATTCCGATTCTGGTGGAAGAAGTCCTACACCCGCGGGTAAGAACCAAACTAAAGAAGACCCAACCGAAGAACGGGAACTGGAGGAGTGCGCAGCCGTAAGGTTGAACAAGGTGAAGGAGAGAGCGAGTGACCCGACAGTAGTACCCAGGCTAGTCCTGGCGGAAGATGAGAACACAATCCAAGGTCATTAACGTTTATAATGTAATAAGTGTCATTTATATTGGCCTAGTGTAAGAGTTGTTTGATGTTTATTCTATGCATCGTTGTAGGGGCTGCAGAGGAAGTGCTGGAAAGGAAATGTGATGGAGGTGGAGAGGTTAATCAGTTAGGTCTACCTGTTCTACAAGGGAAACAGACACAAGGTGGGCCTAATGTCATCTTGCTTTTTAAAATAATGTCTTTTGTAGGTTATATGTTGCTACTTTGTGTTTGTTTTAATTTGTATCACTTTAATTTTTAAATGAAATATATAAAATGCATTTCTGTTGTCATACACAGAAACAACAGGTCCAAAATCACAGCTAACTTCTAGACAGGGTCGAAGTCAGCGAGTCAGACCTCTGCCAACACAGCAGATAAAGGAGGACAGTAAACAAAACCGGCATCCCTTTGTTTTGTATGCATCAGGGGAGAAAGACTCTGACATTGCAAGAAGAAAAACACACAACGTACGGCCTGTTGCTTCTACAAAAGAGGTAAATTGTTTTGTGAGTTTGTGTCTGTGCACGTTTATACATCAGTTTTGCTAATTATGCTTCACCACAGATTCACGAGTCAGCTCTGCGTGCAAAGACACGAAGGGAAGTGGAAAGGCAGCTTCAGTCCCAGAGAGCAGAACGCAGACGAGCCAAATCTGCAGATGTGGACAAGACCAGGCTCAAGGTGGTGCCACCAGAGTTTAATCCTTGGCTAACTGAGTACATGCGCTGCTTCTCTGCTCGCTCTCGATAGAAAGGGCATCGTTAGACTACTAATGTAATTGTACCATTGTTATAAATCAAATCAAAATGCCATTGTTGCCTATCACACATGTGGTGTTGATGCATACAAGTCAAGATCATATCAAGTATTTAAGTAATTTAGCAGTATATGCCCTCTTATCTTAGCCTGACCAGCTTAAAAGAAAGTAGGGGCTAGCTTGCTGGCTAATCTTATATAGAAGCATGATGCAAGGCAATGATTTACAAGGTAAAAGTATATTTACCAACAATAAAAATAAAAGCCACTCTTTCACATGAAGCATTGCCCAGGTTATTGTTTTTAATAGTACTTGACTTAGTTTGCATGGATGAGGACCATGTTGAAAAGCCACTTTCGGCTATTCCTGATCAATTGTAAATAGAACATTTTTTATTAAATTTGTGAGTGTTGTATTGATTTGCTTCTGTGAATAAAATAGTAGCACTCCTTCGTGCAATAACATAGGCTTACTTTTCATTATAACTATGTTTGAAGTGACACAAATTAGATTTCACCCTAAAAAGCCATAACAGTGAAAGTGGTTGTTAGGCTGCAGAGTTAATTGTTATAGTTTTCTTTTATATGTGAAAGCTTTATATGTTTCAACACTTTAAAATATGTAGAACTAGACATTTCTTTATAGTAGATTGTTACTTGGATTGGAGTAGATCTTCAAGCCTTTAGTAACTGCTGGTTACTGATTTAATGTGTGATTTGAAATCAATTTGTCTTTATAGAAACTGTATAATGGAGATCTAAATACCTTGTGCCAAACTTATGTAAATGTTCTGTATAAGACAAGTTGCAAAGTTGATGGGACAAAAAAGGATTTTTGCGGTATTTTTGTATTTAAAGAAAATGATGAATTTATGTATATGCTCCCTGGTCACCTGTTGAGATCCTAATTAAGCTGTATTTGTACATTTGTGTGAATTTCACATTTTAATTTATTGTTATTCTGTAATCTCAGTGACTAAATCATATACAGTATATATATATATATATATATATATATATATATATATATATATATATATATATACAGTATATAATATACATGCAGTATATATATATATATATATATATATATATATATATATATATATACACAGTATATATATGTGTGTATATATATATATATATATATATATATATATATTATATAATATATATCCTCTGACAGTAAAACGTGGCTGGAAGCAGAGTTCGAACTTTGGAGGAAGAAATCAGATTATTATTTTTTCAATAGCAAGCAGTTATTAAAAGTCTGTCTTGTATAGGTTCAGGAAATTAACATTGAAAGCCATTTTTATGTGTTTGTTACTAAGACAAGATTGAAATGAAATTTGGACTGATCATTGAGGAACAATGAGTGTCTTTATTTATTCTTATTATGATTAGTATTATTTTTGTCATATCGTCCAGAACAATGGTGACAATCAATGATAATCAATTTAATTTTAGTTTAGTATAATTACCGTGGTGAGTGATCGCATGCTTTACATTACACTTAAACCTATGATGGGACAGTTTGACAGATGTGATTGAATCCCATTGTATGATTTGTTTCATAATAATGTTTAGGTTGTTTAATTTCATTGTAACATAAATTCTAGTGCATATGGTTTAATATTAAATGGCACAAAAATGTTAATATGCATTTGTAAAATTGTTCTTTTTTATTTTAAAAACATAAGCCTTTATCATACAGAATAAATTATGTCATCTTTAAAATATAAATAAAAATAAAGGTGAAAAACACAAGACATAAAATTGTGCAGCAAAATATGTTGATTCAAATGCTTAACAGTGTTAACCCAGTGTGTAGTTGATTTGAATGTTTCATTAAATGTAGTACTGAATGGAGTTAATGATGTGTGGAAATAAGCTTTAGATTTCCAATAAAACTCATAAGAAACAAATCCAAGTGCACACAAAAGAGCTTCTTCTTCATAAAATTACACATGAAATGCATCAAGGTTTTAGTTGTACCCAAGAGCAGCAGCTGTCACTCAGTCAATATATTCATTTACAAGCCAAAACATACTAGGTACATACAGTACATACTTGGACCATTCAGTCATTTTGGATTAAAGGAGTGTTGAACAGCCAGATTGCAGAATGTGCCTTTGCTATTACATATCTTTTACACAAATTCTGAAATATTTCCACTGCTCTAAATATGACCCAAATATTTTATACAATCACATATGGAACTGACACCACTGCCTTATTTAAAATACATATATTTGAATGATTTGCATTTAATCATGATATTTATGATACCACAATGAATGCAGTACACTTTAATGTAACATACTGGGCCATGAAAAAGATTCAGGATATGACTGACTGTTTTAAATATAGATATTTTACATAATGAAAAATCATTATGAAATACTATTATTAATTATTCATGCATCCATTTCTATTTGTATATACAGAAATACAGAATTATAGGGCATAGTACAATGCAGTAGGAGGGGATGCAATGTTTTTGTAAAAAATAGGAACGCATTAATGGAACTGTCTAACGGCAGCAGTTACAAAGTGTACAAAAGACTATCAAAGCCTTTTCATGTCTGGACAGAGATGAGTCTGAAAAACTGTTGAATAAATGTTTGTGTACAACTAACAAAGGGAGGCCTGTGGAACTGTTCATAATCTTTGTACAGTAAAATGCCATGATAATTAATAAAAAAAAAAAAAAACGTATATAGGATGTAACTATCAATGTTGCTATTAAAAAGATACATGTTTTGTTTCGATACATTTACATGTAAATACATAGTTCCAGACATGAGACTCTGAGGACTGGTGGTCTATTTATATTGCAGGTTTCTTGATGGTGAAATGCTATTCCTTTGTTACCTGAAAAGATTTTCCATTCTTGATGTTGAAGTTCTCTTTGACGCAAACGCGTAGAGGGTTTTGAAGGATCCATGCGAAGGGTGAAGTTCAAAGGTCAATAAGCAGTCACTAGCAGAGCGCAACCCAGGAGTCGTCGGGCCCCATGAGCTTCTTCTTCCTCTGGTCTTCACAGAGCTGTTTGCAAGACACTGAACAAAACAGTCATTCAAACTTCAGCACAGTCCATAACACAAACTATGACATGCTCAAATGCGTGTACCTCATCTGTATAGGGTAATTACTGCATGTCCTCTAGCAGCCGCACTCCTGAGTGCCCGCAGGTTGAGCTCGCCGTGGTGACCGCAGCTGTCGTAATGCAGCATCACCATACTGAATACCTGAGCCCATCCTCTCTGGATCCAGCTCCCCTAGGAACCACAAGAAAAGTGTAAATTACAGGTTTATTGCACTTTTATATTCTAAATGAGGATGAGTGTGGAACAGAGTCTAAAACCTGCTGTATGAAATAAATATTTATACTGTACTGGTCTAAACAACTAACCTGATTCAATCTTGTTCAGTATTTTCCGAGCGCATTGGACAAAAGCTTCTTCAACATTCTCCCCTGTCAGGGCACTAGTTTCCAGGAACATTAGCTCTAAGAAATACCCACATATATAAATAAAATTATAACTAGATTACAAATTACAGTGATTCAGTATATTTCTACCAAAAATCTTACCATTTTCTTGAGCAAAGCGAGATGCCTCCAAAAATGTGACCTCTCTATCAGCATCCAAGTCCTTCTTATTACCACAGAGTATAATAACAATGTTCTGACTAGCCAACATCCTGGCATCACTTAACCACGTAGTCAGAGCATTGTAGGTTTCCCGACTAGGAAAACAACACATGCATATCACATTCACACTAATCAATTATTGTTGGAATAATTTTGGCCCTTGTTTGTGACAGATTTACCTTGTTATATCATAAACCAACAAGGCTCCTGCTGCTCCTCTGTAGTAACTCCTGGTAACTGACCTGAAAAATGAGAACATACATATGTTATAATAATAATAAGGCAAATAGCCCCATCAGTGCGTTAACTATCACATGTCTATCATATTTATCTAGGCTACTCAGCAGTTAATAAAATACACTGTATTTGCTTGTCATCATTACTAATAATAACAATGTCAAGTCAAAACATAAAACGTGTTTATTAAACACTTACCTAAATCTCTCTTGACCAGCAGTGTCCCATATCTGCAATTTGACCATTTTATTGACCACACTGATGATCTTTGAGCCAAATTCTACACCAATCGTATGATTAGACTCATCCTTAACTATAAAAGACAACATCTTAGATATAAGATCTAATAAAATCTAATAAACAAATACAATCATTATATTTATACTTTATCATTGACACAAGATGATTGTACTTACATCTTTTCTCTATGAATTGGTGCAATAAACAGGACTTGCCAGTGCCAGCATTGCCAATCACCAGAAATTTAAAAAGGAAATCTGAAAAGTAATATCGACATCACATTTTTCTTTAACACAAGAGAAACTTAACGTCAATAAATAGTAATCCTGTCCAAACACAGCTAACGTGCTATATAAATGGGCGTCGTTGCTTCAAGGATCACTGAAAATAATAAGAGGGCTGTCAGCTCGACATCCTCAAAACAAGTGAGGCTTAGAACTGCTGCGACTAATTATACTTTGTATCAATATTTGCATCTCTCATTTCAGAGGTTTGCTATGCAGATAGGACTCTAAAGGCCAGTATCCTTTAACGATGGCTGGCTGGCAAGGTTAGCCTCTATGCTATTGATCTACGATGGGAAACAAGAAGACCCCACCACACCTGCTTTATTAAGGCTAAGATGTCAACACATATAGTTTATCATTGCGCTGTCTTACCGTACGACTCTGACATGTCCACGGTTCTTTTGCGGACCAGAGGCAATGAAAATTAGAGGATGACAGCAGAATACAGCAACCCAAAGTAAGCAAAACAGTCTTTATGATTATTTCCGTGGATTCCAGCTGATTTCCCTGTGACTTCCGGTGTGGTGTTGATACGCTTGTTATTTCAAAATAAAATATAATAATTTCAAAATAAAATGATCTCAAGAGAGTTACAGTTGATCAGTATTAAAGGGAGATTTGAGAGCATGGTAACACGTTTTTGTCCAAATCACAACAATTTATAGAATAAATTAAACAATTCTGATAAATCTAAATGGAGCTAGTTCAGTGCAACCACTACGCGCAAAACTCATCAAGGGCAGATCTGGCAACCCCACTACGAGCTCAGCCTGCTGCTCAATGGGATGCTAAGCTAATGCTAACTAGCAGCTACTCCCTTTGAGAAAAGTATGGCAGCTATACTACCCATCAGGGCGACCTGCGACAGCAATCCCGCCACACCGGGGGCGCAGTCAGTCAAGGTAAAAAGTGGAGTGTGCCGAAAAAGCCATACTTTTGGTCTAGAGTTTTGCGAGGCTTTTTAGTGCAGCGATCGCATTTGTTTACACAGAGTTGTGGTTCTATGTGGAAGCGATGTGTTAGCACCGTTAGCACACCCCTTTG